TTTCCTTAGGAATGTGAGCGCTGGGTGGGTTTCCAAAGGAATCCTTCCCTTCAATCCCGGTGGGAGAAGTTGAGGCCGCGGCATTCCCACAGCTCCTCCCGCCTCAACATGGAGATTCCCTCCATTCCTGGGGGGATTCCTGCCGACTCTGCACATCCCTCAAGTGGGAAATGGGAATTCCCAGCTTCCTTCTGCAGGGAAATGGGAATTCCCAGCTTTTTTCCTGCTGGAAGATGCTTCCGGTGTCGGGAGGTTTGTCCTCCTCATCCTTCTTTAGCATTATCCATGAGGATGCTGGGAAAAAGAAGGGAATACTGGGAATTCCCTGCTCCTTTGTTCTTGGCATTCCATGTCTGAGTGATGCCAATGCCCTTTAGTACCACCCGGAGCTGTCAAAACTCAGGGAATTCCCATTTCCTGCCTTCTGGAATAGAAGCTGCACATCCTTGGACCTGGAATGAGTCTGCATGTTGGGATAATGGGAATGGGAAGAGAAATGGAGGCTTCTGTTGGCGCCCTTGGTCTTTGGTGGCTTCTTGGGTGGTTTTATCCATGGGCTTGGTAATGCTGAGAAATCATGGAATCATGGATGGGTTGGGATGGGAAGGAGCTGGAATCATCCAGTTCCAATGGGGACACCTTCCATAGGACAGGGTGCTCCTTGGGCGCTGACAGGGATGGAGCATCCCAACCTTCTCCATCCATCCCAGTGCCCCGCCACCCTCATGTGAGGAGCTTCATCCCAAGATCCCACCCACCTCTTCCAGTTCCTCCTCATCCCATCCCTCCATCCCGTGCCCAAGGCCCCACTCCAGGTCTCCTGATGTTGGGAAGCCCAGACCTGGCCCCAGTGCTCCAGCAGGGTCCCCCCTTGGTCCTGGAGCTCCCATAGGACACAGTAGGAAGCTCCCATAGGACCCAATGGGCTGTAGGTGGCTCCTCGTTGGTTTTCCATGATCATGGAATGGTGGATGTTCCTCTTGGGTCCCCATGAACCACTCCTGGGCTTGGAAGCCCCTTTCCAAAGGGGATTTGGGCTTTGGATTCACCAATGGAGCCAAGAAGCTCCTTGTCTCCGGGTGCTATGGGATGGCTTCAGCTTCCCAAGAGCCATCCCAAAGCTGCTGTCACCCCCCCCCATTCCAGTCGTTATCCCTAAGGATTCTCCCAAGGGTCCCTGGTGCTGTGTCCAATTCCTGTCTCTTCCAGCGGTCTGGAATTCCTAAACCCTGTTCCCTTTCCCAGTGCCGTCACCTTGTCTGGGGTTAAGCTTTCCCAATGGGAGAATCTGGGAATTGGGAGCAGGAACCTGTTCACGGCAGTAGGATTCTCCAGCCTTGGAGCCTTCACCATTCCCATTATCCATGGAATTCCATAGGCCTGTGGATGCTGGGATACGCTGTGGGTCCGTGGTGGCTCTCAATGGGCTGAAACCAAGCCCCAACCATTCCCGTTCGGATTCTGTGGGTGCAACTGGGAGAACTGGTGGTGGAATCCAAGCGGTGATGGGTTGAGTGAGCCTAGAGGAGGGTGACCCTTGGTCGGACACTGGGATGGGGTGTTTGGGATGAGGGAATCCCATGGGATGTAACGTGGTGCCTTTGCTCTTTGCAGTTGACATGGATGATGAAGACGGCCGGTGCCTGCTAGATGTAATCTGGTGAGTAGCTCCCTCAGCGTCACGGATGGATTGGGATGGGCTGGGAATTCCACCCCCCTTGGCCCACAGGCATGTCCCCAGAGGCCTGAAGTCATCCCAGCTGTGCTCCAAACCTCCCAGGTCCTGGAATTCCTCCTGGATTGGGGGGATTTGCTTCCTGGGCTGGAGGTTTTCATGACTTCGCTCCCCCCTTGAGCCACTTCCAACATGGATCAATCCCATTTCTCCACTCTTTTGCCGTAAAATAAGGACTTTGGGGGATCTCCACACATTAAGATGGTGCCAAAGTGATGGTCAGCGGATGGTCCAAGGGGCTTTATGGTGATCCAGGAAGTCGTTGGGAATTGGGGCTGGAAGCGTGGTCCCGTGTCCATGTGGTGTCTTGTTTTGCAGCGATCCTCAGGCCTTGAACGACTTCCTCCATGGATCTGAAAAGGTGAGAGATGGAGGGTTCCATTCCCAACCCCTTCCCAATCCATTCCCAACCCCTTCCCAGTCCATTCCCAACCCCTTCCCAAACCTGGGACTGCCCAACCCCTGCCCAAATCATCCCAAACCTTTCCCCAACCCCTTGTCAATCCATTCCCAAACCTTCCCCCAACCCATTCCCAAACCCATTCCCAAACCCTTCCCCACCAACCTCCCTTTGTAAATGGTGTTTTCCTCCTTAAAACAAGGGGATTTCCCTCAAGTCATTCCCAAGTCTTGGATCCTTTGAGTTTTTAGGACTTGGGGGGAGCCCAACCAACATTCTAGCACCTCTTGGAGCCACCAACAGGGATTTGGGATCACTCGGAGCCAGGAAGCACTTGGTGCTTCCCAGACAGCCACATTGAGCCATTTTCCCATAGTTTTCCCCATTTTGGGATCCATCTTTTGTCCCAGGAGAGTAAATCCCATCTTTTTCCATTGCAGATTGACAGCGATGATCTCCTGGACAACACCGGAGATGCAGCCAGCTCCTTCTTTGAAGGTGCTGGGGTATGTACTTCCATGGACACAGTATTCCCTTTAGGAATGTTCCCTTTCGTTTGGGGGGGGGGTCATGTCCTGTCCTTTTGCTGGGAATGGGATTATTCCCTAAGGAAATGATGAGCCTCCAAATCCTCTTTTTTGGGGGGGGTTCTCCCCAAGTTTGTGTTACTCTGCATGAAATTCCCAAGTTTTTTGGTTCCCCCTTTGGTTTCTTCATTCCCAACTTTTGTAAGTCTTGGATTCATGGATTATTAAGGAATCATTAATTAATGATTGATGTAGTTCTTCCCTTTACTCCTCACCACCACGATGTTTCCATTCCCTTCCCCTTTGCTCATCGCTTGGGCTGGAATCCCACCAGCTCTCTGTGGCATTCCCAAGCCTGCTCCCAAGATCCCACCTGTTTTGGGAGCAGGGAGCTTTTCCATTCACTTTGAACTCTTCCTTTCCATGAGGAAGGGGATGGTTTCTCCTGGAGTTTCTAGGCTTGGGTGGGAGATCGGGTGGACACGGGTTGAAGGCATCTCCCTACGCTTTGAGCTCAACGTCTTCCCTCTCCTCCCCTCCCAGCTCCACGTCCAGGAGTCCTCTGGGAACCACCTAAGCACGGAGCAGAACCAGCCGGCGGCCAGCGTGGACCTGGACTTCTTAGAAGATGACATCTTGGGCTCCCCGTCCAGCACCGGGGCCAACCTGCCCAACTCGGACCAACCCTGCGACATCCTCCAGCAGAGCCTCCAAGAGGCCAACATCACCGAGCAGACCCTGGAAGCAGAAGCTGAGCTGGACCTGGGCTCCTTCCAGCTTCCCACCCTCCAACCAGTGGTGCAGGCAGCAGCTGATGGAACCCCCCAGATCTTCTCTGGTGGGGCTGACCTCATTGGGCTGCAGCAACCCACCGTCCTGACCCACCAAGCCCTGGTGCAGCAGTCAGTAGGAGCTGATGTGGTCAACAAGGCCATCAGCGTCCAGCCCTTCCTCCAGCAGGTCGGGTTGGGGAACGTCACCATCCAGCCCATCTCCAACCTCCAAGGTCTGCCCAACGGGAGCCCCAGCGGCGCGTTGGGCATCGGGCCCATCCAGGTGGTGGGGCAGCAGGTGATGGCCATCAACCAGTCAGCGCAGCAGATCATTGCCAAGCAGGTCCAACCGTCCCAGGTGGCCACCATGCCCGTTGGGAGCTACATCACCCAACCAGCGCCCGAGCAGCAGCAGGTCACCCTGGCCTCAACAGGGGTCTCTCCACAAGGTGCTGGTCTCGTCATCCAGAAGAACCTGCCCACGGTGGCCACCACGACGCTAAATGGGAATTCCATGTGCGCAAGACT